CCCTACCTGAAGCCCTGTTTATAAGCTCTAACACCAGTCAATAAACCGAGGCCTTGACGCAACTCAGACTGCTTTGTCTTTCTTCACGCGCTTGGTCTCCTTTCCCTTTCGCCCCCCATTGATTCACAGGTGGTCCCTCCTCGAGACCCTCGAATAACCTGGCCTGCTGGACGGGTCAGACACCACTCTTCTGAGGTCTCCTTTGTATGATTTTCTCTATGTGTGTATCTATTGTATTGTTCATGAAAACTTACTTTGATTTCAAAGTTCGGTCTTTATTCCCAACCCCTAGTTGATTTCTGCTCTTCCTAAAGGCTCCAGTCCATGAGACCAGTGAGAGCAATTTCAGAAATTCCTACCAGAGAAACAAGGAATTTTCATCAGTATGAAGGCTCTTATTATTTTTTAAACAAAGTGTATTCTGTTGTAGCATTGTTATTGTCCAACACAAATCAACATATTAAAGTTGAGAACACTTCTTACACTGCCAACACACTCACATATGTGTTTAATTTTGATCTAGAATTTTAATTAACTTTTTAATGGTTATAGTTAGAAGTTTTATTCTTTTATTAGTAGGAAATTTCACAATTGATTTATGTAACTTAATAGATATTTATTCTAACAACAAAACAACCAGGGGTTCAAACAAATTTCCAGAAACTATGCATGAAATTTTCTAGGTGCTGTTCACAAATCAATTTTTCTGCTCTTTCTCCCAGTTCAGTTTTAGAAGGAAGGTTATGGTTTACTATTGAAGCAATGACTGATGCAGTGGACAAAATTTCTGTTTTTTAGGTACCACATTATCATTAAGTACCTGAGCCTCCACTCTTGTCTATAACCATAGAGATGGATTACTGAAGGTAGCATTAATGCTTCTCTTGGCTACTGTTATAAAAACAAGGGCAAACTTGCAGAGTAATGTTAAAAGACACAAGCAAAGAATTCTGAGGACCTGAAACAAAAAGCTGAAAGGGCATGACACCTGAAGATAAGGGACTATAGAATGGCAGGACATCCTGTCTCCCTTGTCCAATGGAAGTAAATGACCTTACATGTGCTCTTCCAGAACCTGTGAAACAGCAGGTGGATTATGTGAGCTCTCTCCTCCATGTGTAAGAGAGACTGGTCAGCAGCACTGGGAGAGGCTGAAAGCACCTAATGGGCTGATTGTTCATAGGAAGTGCTTCTCCTACTTTTCAGGGACACCAGAGTGGGAGCTGGGAGTACAGAGGGCCATTTAAATGCCTCTGTCTTTAAGGGTGTGACACTCACTTCTTCCCTCCAGGAACACCAGATAAAGTAGGTTTTAGAATGTCATACATACATAACAGGGCAGTGAAATTTAGCAAACTGTAGATCAATGCAGTAAAATGGATCAATGATTTTCTCTAAGACCATGAAAGAGTAATTAGTGGTAGTTTTTAACCTTCCAAATGGTGCAAAACTTTAATACAGTCCCTCATGTTCTGGTGACCGAAAACCATACAATTATTTCTGTGTTGACTTCATAAGTATAATGCTACTATTATGAATCATAATTTAAATATCTGATATGGCTTATGATCCTAGGTGACCCCTGTTGAGAGGGTCATTCAACTGTCAACGGAATTTCAAACCATGGTTTGAGAACCATTGTGTTATAGGATGTCTCTGTAACAGTGCATACATATGTTTGATCCCTGTCTTATAAAATTCAAAGGCATGTGTGGCTAACTATAGCAAAAGTCAGAAAAAAGTTTTTATACAGGAAAATCTGATAAGAATATGCATAGGGAAGGGACATAAAGGAAATGGAAATGCCTGGCTAGTTATCTGACTATAATTACCTCTACCTAGTTACTTTCTGATCAATATTATCTATCATAAATGTGTAGATTATTTTGAGTGTGGTAAAAGTAAATGGCAAAATTAATTTCAGACAAATGCATTTGTACAAGAATGGCTTTCATAAAATAAACAAATAAATCTTGAAATAAATATTCACCACCAGTACACAAATATAAATAAAGCATTGTAAAATAAAACAATGGAATATTATACTGAGTTGTAAATACATGAAATATGTATAGGAATGTGAATGAGGTCTATACACTTCCCATTGACAGAAAGTAAGGTCAAGCAATGATTGATACAAGACTGCTCTTACCTGCTCCTCTTCATTATCTATGTAAAGCAGAGTAGAGTTTTTGGAAGTGCAGGACACTAAACTGTCATTCCAAGTTTTTCTCTCCACACCAATATAATAACAATTGTGGGAATATGATATCCACTCCTTTGAACAATGACTACAATGGTGTACTGAAGAAAGATGAATTTAATAGTGAAAATTAATATTTTCCTAGTTTTAAACGTTCATGTAAAATATGTATCTGCACAGCCTAGAGGCTGATAAATATGCATAAAATATACACTCAAGCACACAAAGAAAAGATTCTGCCCTATGGTTCTGTGTTTATTTGTCTATCTAAACTAAACAAACAAGTCTTTACCCTACACATTTTTCAGAGTCACTGAACATAAGCTCTATTCTAGAACAGTGAGTTTATTTCTGTCTTATCATAGTTCACCAGCAGGAACATTAACCCAATTATTAAAAAATTTTCTGGTCATTTTATTTGAATATTTCTTATTGGACAAAAAAGGTATCATCCTTAATATTTATTGATGAACATGTAGTGCTCACGTTTCTAGTTTTTTTTCCCTAGAAATCTATTATCACCTTTGCATAGCTTTAGTCAGACACAGAATATAATGTGTACAAGAATCAGAACTTTGACAAGAAAAGTGTACCTTTCTGTGATCTAGTCATGGAGGAGTTAAACCGGGCCTTTGCTTCAGGATCTGGAGAGTTAAAATAATTCTTATGAAAATAAACCTTTAAAATATTGTAACAATTTTGGTTTCTTAGTTTGAAGCTGATGTACTGTTTTAATAAGGATACAGTGAAATACAATTGACATTGTCAAAAAATAATATGATGAAAACTACTTTAATGAAAGACCAAATTTCAACATTTTATATCATATAACCTACGTAAAAAATCTCTTTCAAAACAGTGTCTAAATAAAGAGTTTACAAGGTTCTAAACTATGTTGAGTAATGAAATCATTGATAAATTCAAAAGTAGACATTTCATATAATTGCTCTAATATTCATGATATTGACAAAATCATAATAACCATTCCACATTTAATCCAAATATATACATTAAAATTTAAATTAAAAGCTACTGTTCTTTCTGCTTGTTCTTTTTTTCTGCTAAACATTTTTAATTTATTTATTTACAAAAAGCATTTGTTTCATTTTACATACCTATCCCAGTTCCCCCTCCCTTTCCATTTCCAGACCCTCCCCAATCTTAGAAGCAATATGAACTTAATAATGAAAATTAATTTACATTATTGCATAGTTTTGAACATACATATATAAAATAAGCTATGCACCTTAGAATCTGGTTCATAAAAAACAGAATACACACTCAAACACACTCAAGTCCATATAAAGAATATAAGCCAAAACCAAATTCTCTCCCCAAATTTTTCTTCAAAATCACTGAATACAACCTCTATTCTAAAAGACAGAATTCATTTCTGAGGCATCATAGTTTGTCAATAGGAAACTTAAGCCAATTATCAAAACTGTTGCATAGTTATTTTACATGATTATTTATTTCATGACAAAAGGGATTATCATCCATTAATGTTTATTATGAGAATTTACTGTTCATGTCTCTAGATTACTCTCTTCCCAGAACTATATTACTGTCATCACATGGCTTAAGTTAGGCACAGAATATAATGTGTACAAACATCAGAATGTCTATAATTGAGGTGTTCCTTTCTGACTTGTAATCAGGAAGAAGTGGACCTTCTCCTTTGCTTCAATAGCTGGAGAGTTAAAGTAATTCTTAGTAAATTTAATATCTAAATAATCATAACATTTTTAATCCCTTAGTTTGAAATTTATGTACTATTTGAATTAGAGTAATACAGAATATAATTGCAATTACTGTATTATGAATAATATGGTGAAAACTTTGGAGAAAATTAGTTCAACGAAATACTAAAGTTCACCAGCTTCACAGTACAACCAATTGGAAGGGGGCACTTTTAAAACTTAATTTGTTTTCTTAGTAAAGTATTCTAAATTGTGTTGTTGAATTATAAAGTCATAATCGCTATACTTAAAAGCAAACGTATTATAATACCCTGTTATTTATAACTTTGAAAAAATTAGAACAACCATTCCACATTTAATCAACATATGTGCTTAAAAGTAAAAGCTATTTTCCTTACTAGGAAGGAGCATTGAAAGATGCTTTGTTATTAAAGAGGAAAGCGCCCTTATAATCTCTCAAGAGCATGCTTACATGAAGTGACAAGTCTGGTTGTTATCACCAAGGCTACCAATAAGGCAAACCAGATGATGCCCAGGATCCCAGAGATGAGCTTTTCTGGAGGTGATAAAAAATCTGCAGAGATAAATGGAAGTGATGAGAGAGAAAACAGACACATTTTCACAGGGTTTACAGAGAAGGGAACTTGGAGAATCAGTAGAAGAAATAAATTCCTCAGGCCCTCCTCTATGCTGTAATTGGTCTGTAGACAATATCATTGCATTTTCAGTGAACACAATGATCATACATTCTTACAACAATGTCTGAATGAAAACTGATCACACCTTAAATTATAACACCATGGGCCAAGTTAAGGTTTCCTTTCCTCCCAGGAAGAAGCCCATTCCTGACTGCATGCCAGCCGGCACCCCAGAGCAGTTAAACTGAAAGGTCCATCCAGTGCCTTACTTTTGCAGTGGCATTGCCTGCTGATCTCGACATGCTTCTGGGAAGCATTTTGAAGGCTGAACTCCATCAGCTGATTTCCTGCTGGGTTACTGAAATGGAGCTGTGAGTGGCCTTGGGTTTCCCTTGCTGCTTCCCTGGGTCCTGAGGCATTTTCAGTTCTGAGCAAATGACTCATGACTCACACTACAGCCCAGTGACATGTGCTATGGTGATTCTACATAAGAAGCTACACTTCCTGATGCAGTCACTAAAGGAGGAGCCCAGAGAACTGGAGCTTTTGTACAGTTGAAATATCTAATTTTACCTTGGGCTTTGAACTCATGTGTTATAGTTAAAAAAATAAAATCTAGAATTCATTCTGGCTTGAGCCTAATAACATGTGACTGTTAAAATATTATTATTATTTGGAATCTAATAGCTCTGTTTATTCTTCTAAAATCTAAGCTCAAGTATATATAACATAAAGCATGTAAACTAGTTAATACGAAGGTTAGTATGCCAAGCTCTCAATTGTGCCCTCTGGGATAAATCAATACGTTTTTTACCAAAGATACACAGAGCCCAAATTGGAACACTTAAAATCCACACTTCATCATCAGGTCTCTGGAGTCTGAAGGTTTAATTATATTGATTTAAAAAAAAAAACACAAACGTGAGTGGATGACAGACTCTCCACAGACAAGGACAGGGCCTTGAGACAATCCTCCAGTGTGTCCCATGCACTTGGATTTCTCTGAGGTGTTTAGAGGATCCACATCCCAGTTTGATTCCCTGCAGCAGAGCTGTGCCTCAGTTGTTCCACATGAGCATTTGCAGGGTACCCTGGACTGACTGGGCTGGTGGAGACAAGGGAGCAGTGACAAGCTCCCTCTGTTGCCAGAAATCCAGGTCTCCTGCAGTGAGGGTGGAGTTCACAGGAGGCCTGTGGGAGCTGAGCACCAAAAGGTGAAAGTCAGTCACAGAAATCTAGGACAACAGTGACAGTGAACTGAGCAGACTGTGCAGTGAGGCTCAGAGTGAGTCAAGAGTGGAAAAGGAGATTTCTCACCAAGGTGTCACTGACAGTTGAACAGGAAATTCTCATACTTGAATGATTTTGAAATCAGTTTTTCTCATCACACCTTTACAATGTAAGGTCACTTTGGGTTCTTGTTGAAAGGACATAGTGGTCAACTAAGTGTGCTGTGTAGTGTGTCATTTTCCGAGTATCTCACAAGAACGCTATGTGTTTTAGAAAGGTGAGAGAATTAATCACCAAGCTTCCACTTACAAGAGTTTCTTAGAGGGTTTTTCTCTTCTACTGAAAGAGACTTTTTCATATAATATGTTCTGATTACAGCTTCCCCTCCCTCTACACTTTCCAGTTCTTCCATATCTATCCTCCCCTCTGAATCCACAGTCTAGTTGTCTCTCCTTAGAAAAAAAAACAGGCATCTAAGGGGTAATTAATATAATATAATAATTAATATAATATAATATAATATAATATAATATAATATAATATAATATAATATAATTAATATAATATAATTCAAAAGCAAATAAATAATAACAGAAATAAAAGACCAAAGAAGAAAAAGAGCCAAAGTGCATGTAGATGCAGAGTTACAGGCATTATTACACTCAGGAATTCCATAAAAGCCAAAACTGGAAACCATAATATATATGCAAAAGGACCTATAAATTAAAAAAAAAACACAAGAAAACTAAACCTGACTTAATATTATGAGACAAATACCCTCCAAAGGTGCTGTGGAGTTTGTTTTATGTTAGCCCTCAACAGCTAGGCATGGGCCCTACTTAAGAGTGGTTTATTTCCTTGGTGTGACTCCCTGGGAGAAAATTACATTTTCATTAACAAGGTAATTTCTAATCACCAATTAGAGGTAGCCTTCAGGTTGGGGAGGGGGTCATGTGTCCACTTCTCCCTTCAGTTCTAGGATTCTATCTGGTGTAGCCCCATGCAGACCCTGAACATGCTGCCACACAGTCTCTGTGAGTTCATATGTGTGCAAGCCCTGTTGAGTCCAAAAGCCTTGATTCTTCGGTGTCCTCCATCTACTCTGGCTCTTACACTCTTTTTGTCTTCTCTTTTGTAGAATTCCCTGAGGCCTGACTGGAGAGATTTGATGGAAATATCCGGTTAGGACTGAGTGTTCCAAGGTCTCTCACACTCTGCACATTGTCCAGATTGTGGGCTTCTGTATTTGTTCTCATCTGATGCAAAGAGATTACCTCATGATGGCTGAGCAAAACGCTCATCTATGAGTATAGCAGAATGTCATTTATGAGTCATTTTATTGCTCTGTCTTTTAGCAGAACACTAGTGTTTGGTTTTCACCTAGGTCTCTGGCCTAGCTAGTCTCATGTTCTTGGTCATCAAGCAGCATTGTGTATGAGTTCCATCTCATGGAGTGAACCTTAAGCAGATATTGGTTGGTTATTCACACAGCTTTTTGTCACTATTTTCACCAGAATATCTTGCAAGCAGGTCACTCTTTTAGCTGGGTTGGTGTTTACTTTTCTTCTGTAGTAGCAAGCAGTGTCTTCTAGTATCATGAACACTAGTTAGTAGACATGAAGTCTCTACATAGGAACCAGCCCAACTTCTTCACATTCAATGAGTGTGTATGTGTTGTTTTCAGCAATAAAGCCTCACTGTCAGTGTGTAGAAAGCGATCGATAGCTTTGGCAATAGCTAGGGTTGGTTTGGCGTTTCCTTGGGCATATTTTTAAATCTCTCTCTCTCTTTCTCTGCTGAAGGCTGCTACACCCAGTCTAAATTATATTATATATATTTTCTTCCTCATAGCCATATCATATCACACATATCATGGAAAAGTCACGAAATCATTATAAAACTCATAGTAACATTATCAACTGAGATTAACTTGACATTAGTGTAATTAATACATTTTTCAACTTCTAATGACTTATGCAAAACCCCACAAAAATATCATGTAACATTTTTGTTAAAATTCTTGAAGTGGCTACAATTTGTTTCATTTTTAAAAACAAACTTTTGTTTAGAATTCCTTTAATGAAAATAATTATGTTTAGTGGGTAAAACACTATTGAATATTATCAATGTTGCACTGTGTCAGTATGACAGAAATTAGAATATTAGATAAGTACATATATTATTCAACTACTTACTCTTAATGTAACTGTATATATTTTAATAGGAATATTTAGTTTTTTTTAATTAGGAGATTTTCTATTCATTTTACATATCAACCATGGATTCCCCTGTTCTCCCTCCTCCCACTCCCCAGCCTTCCACCCCTACCCCCCATTCCCACCTCCAAGGCAAGGTCTCCCCTGGGGAGTCAGCAGAGCCTGGTACCTTCAGTTGGGGCAGGTCCAGTCCCCTCCTCCCTGCACCAAGGCTGAGCAAAGTGTCCCTGCATAGGCCCCAGGTTCCGAAAGAGCCAGCTCATACACTAAGGACAGGTCCAGGTCTCACTGCCTGGGGGCCCCCAAAACTGTTCAAGCTCATCAACTGTCTCACTTATTCAGAGTGCCTAGTCTAGTTCCATGGGGGTTCCTCAGGTATTGATTCTCAGTTCATGTGTTTCCATTAGTTTGGCTGCTTGTCTCTGAACTTTTTCCAATCATGGTCTCTATATCCCTTGCTCATATGATCCCTCCTCTCTCTCTTGTTGACTGGAGTCCTGGAACTCTGCCTGGGGCTTGGCCATGGATTTCTACATCTGCTTCCATCAGTCACTGGATGAGAGTTCTATCATGACTGTTAGGGTGTTCAGTCATCTGATCACCAGAGTAGGTCAGCTTGGGCTTCCTCTTGACCATTGCCAGTAGTCTATAGTGGAGTCATCTTTGTAGATTCCTGGGGACCTCTCCAGCACTCTGTTCCTATACCCATGGTGTCTTCATTTATAGTGGTATCCTCTTCCCTATTCTCCCAAACTGTTCCTGATGCAGTTGGGACCTCCGTCTCCCCTAAGCTCTCTTCTCCCTGATCCTTGCCCTCTATTACCCCCCCCTCACCTCCAGTTTGCTTATGTAGATCTCATCTATTTCTCTGTTGTTGGGTGATTCCTGTCTCTTTCCTAGGGTCCTCTTTACTTGCTAGCCTCCCTGAAGCTGTGAGTTGCAGTCTGGTTATCCTTTGCTTTACATCTAGTATCCACTTATGAGTGAGTACATACCATGTTTGTCTTTCTGAGTCTGGATTACCTCACTCAGGATGATATTTTCTAGTTCCATCCATTTGCCTACAAACCTCATGATGTCATTGTTTTTCTCTGCTGCATAATATGCCATTGTGTATATGTACCACATATTCTTTATCCATTCTTCAGTTGAAGGGCATCTAGGTTGTTTCCAGGTTCTGGCTATTACAAATAATGCTGCTATGATCATAGTTAAGCATGTGTCCTTGTGGTATGTTTGAGCATTCCTTTGGTATATACCCAAGAATGTTATAGCTGGGTCTTGAGGGAGATTGATTTCCAATTTTCTGAGAAAGCACCATACTGATTTCCAAAGTGGCTGTACAAGTTTGCATTCCCACCAACAGTAGAGGAGTGTTCCCCTTGTTCCACATCCTCTCCAACATAAGCTGTCTTCAGGGTTTTTGATCTTAGCCATTCTGACAGGTGTAAGATGGTATCTCAGAGTCATTTTAATTTGCATTTCCCTGATGACTAAGGATGTTGAGCAATTTCTTAAATGTCTTTCAGCCATCTTAGCTTCTTCTGTTGAGAATTCTCTGTTTATCTCTATAGCCCATTTTTTTTTAATGGGACTGTTTGGTATTTTGATGTCTAATTTCTTAGGTTCTTTGTATATTCTGGATATCAGCCTTCTGTTAGACGTGGGGTTGGCAAAGATCTTTTCCCATTCTGTAGGCTGTCATTTTGTATTATTGACAGTGTCCTTTGCATTGCAAAAGCTTATCAGTTTCAAAAGGTCCCATTTATTAATTGTTGCTCTCAGTATCTGTGCTACTGGTGTTTTATTTAGGAAGTGATCTCTGGTGTCAATGCATTCAAGACTACTTGCTATTTTCTCATTCTATCAGGTTCAGAGTAAGTGGATATTTGTTGAAATCTTTGATCCACTGGGACTTAAGTTTTGTGCCCGGTGACAGATATGGATCTATTTGCAATCTTCTACATGTTGACATGCAGCTATGCCAGCACAATTTTT